ACTACTACGACGACGACAGCTGCTGCAGCTGATGGGTACTAGGATGTTTAAGATTGGTAGCAACAGATACGCCACAAAGGTTTCGTGATGTATTTGGCACCCCCATCCATTTGTTATTTTGACACGGTGTGGCGCGCGGTCCTTGGAAGTTCAAACCCATGCCCTTATGTCAGGGAAAGGCACGACATGTTGGATCTGACCCGTGTTGAGGTAAGACGCCGCTTCGCTGGACCATCAGCCCGGGGATCAACTCGCTACTGGGTGTGCAGGCCACCGGCATGGACAAGCACAAAGAAAAACGAGTGTAACGTCAAGGACTAGTTGTTGTAATCGTCGTCATGATTTTTGTCACGGGCATCATGATTACTATGACGGTGATGAGCATGATCATGAATGATAACAGTGATGATGCTGCTGCTCATGATGATGATGATGATGACCATGAGCATGGTGATCATGATCAGATGCCCTGAGCCCTAAACTTCAGCCCTTAACCAAGCCCTAAACTCAAAAACTCGAAGCCTCAGAAACCATCAACCCCTAAAGCCCGACACCCTTTCAGGGCCCCCCTTAAGCCCTAAACCCTAAACCCTAAGCCCTCAGCCCCCCAAACCCTACACCCTAAGCCCCAAGCCTGCACATCGAAGCCTTTTTTTGGGCAAAGCGCTACAGCCTAAGGGACCCAAGGCCCCTTAGCCTAAACTCTAAACCCCACACCAAAAGCCCCAAGTGCTACTGTAACGCCCCAAACTGCTCAATCCTTTCACAATATAGATCTCCAAGCACTTTGCTTGCAGAGATTTGTTTCAACTGAACCCTGCAACGCCCCTTGTTAGAAGAGCTTTGCTTTACGCCTACCCCCCAACACCACCTTTTGGTCTCTGTTCGCGAGCCCTAAACCCTAAACCCCAAACCCTAAACCCTAAACCCTAAATCCTGAACTCTAAACCCCTAAGCCCTAAACCCTACATCCTAAACCCTGAACCCCTAAACCCTAATTTTTTTGAGGCGCCCCCGGTGGTGGCGGCAGCTGCCGCGGCCGCCGACCGTGTCGGTGCGACATTGGAGGAGTCGCTGGAACTCCAGGAGCTGAGCTTCGGGCTGAGGGTTTAGGGTTTAGGGTTTTGGGCATGGGGTTTAGGGATTTGGGCTTAGGGCTTAGGGTTTAGGGTTTAGGGCTTAGGGTTTAGGGTTTAGGGCTTAGGGTTCAGGTTTCGGGAACAGGGTTTAGGGGTTGAGGTCCAGGGCCTGGGGTATCATTAGTTTCATCGGCTGTGTGAGTGTATGATTCGTTTGTTGGTGGAATTCAGATGACTAGTACTAGGGTATCTTAATTCTAGTTATTTCTACAGTTTGTGCGTTCTTTGCTGTTGGGTCGTGTTTCAACTCTAGTTTCGGGTTTTTAGGAGGGGTTTCATGGGGCTTTCGGAGTTTGTTTTTGTGGTGCGTATTTGTAGGCATTTCATAGGGCATATGGGGTTATAGGGTGTCCTACTTTTTCAGGGAGCTCTTTGGGGGCATGTGTTGATTTAGTTGTGTAGGGTCTTTTTTCGTTTCCATAGAGGTGCATCAGGTCTTGGAAAGCCGTTGCATACTATGATCATCTATGTGAGTTCATGCGAGTTCTGTCTGGTTTTGTGTTGTGCTAGGGGTTTCACAAGGGTTTAAACGGACCTCGTAGCTTGTAGGCTGGAACAGCATTTGCGAGTTTTGCCACATGTGAGGTGACCTGAGTCCGCGAGAGAGAGAGAGAGAGAGAGAGAGGTGACCAGAGTCTCCTGGAAGCGCGTGCTCCAACATGCTGCAGAGATGATGGAGCAGCACGAGGTATTCTCGTGGGCGGTCAACTGCACGAGGACCTCGCTTGCGTGCAGTTACAGTGCCTCGGACGCCCTCCTCAAGGTGCTACTGCACAGGCTGCAGGTGATCTCCCAGCCTCCCTGGGAAGGCATCCGAGATGCAGGAGTCGTCACCTACCCCCCGCTGACTTTCAAGCCTGGCCTCTTTATTCCCATGTCCAGCCCGTGGGATAAAGAGGACCGCAAGCCGTGGCTGATCGTCAGCTCGTTAAAAGGCATAAATGCGAAGTGACGCTACATTGGGGTGTGGAGAAGCACCTAAAACACGAGTGTGATGGAATTTTCGGCTGGTGGAATGTCGCGCTGAGAGAGATTATGAAGGACCCGACCACGAAGATCGTGGAGTGTCAGGAATTGTGCACAACACTGCAGAGTCACTTCGACAAGGCAAGGAGGAAGGATGCGCCAGCTCCACTGGTGGAAGTGGATTCGCTCATTCTATTCCCGGACCTTCATACGGTTTTAGGGTTTAAGGTTTACAAGGTTTTAGGGTTTGGAGTTTACAAGGTTTTCAGGGTTTAGGGTGTGTAGGGTTTATAAGGTTTTTAGGCTTTGGGGTTTAGGGTTTAAGGCTTGAGTCTTGAAGGGATTGAGGCTTTGCACCAGGGCGAAGGCGCTCCATAGTGTTTTACGGTTTAGGGGTTTTAGGGTTTAGGAGGTTGAGGGTTTAGGGTTTAGGAGTTTTGGGTTTTAGGAGTTTTAGGGTTTAGGGCTTCGGGGTTTAGGGGTTTTAGGTCTTCTCGTTCGTCGTTTTAGGTTTGGGGCTGTAGGATGTAGGGAATAGAGGGTTTCGGGCTTTCTGCAAATCGAGGGTTTTCGGATTTCAGGTCTAGGGGTGATATTCGCGCCTGGAGGATTTGGGGGTTTCGGCTAAGTGCAATATGAACACCTTTCATGATTAACTTGTAGTAAGCTGTAGAGTTACTCCTACAGATAACCCAATACCCTAAACAGTTACCCTTGCAGTAAGCTTGTAGGAACCCTTGTCGTTATCCTTGCAGGATCTCGATTCTGAGCCCTTGCAGCGGAAATGCCGGCCAGACGTCCGGGATCCCAGTCTTACTTTTAGGGCTACTCTACCTTTTACCCTAAACCCTAACCCCTAACCCCTAACCGTAAACCCTAAACCCTAACCCTTACACCCTCAACAAGGGTTGCTTTGCGGGCTACTTTCTGGGTTACTGTAAGGGCTACTTTGCGGGGTGCGTTAAGGGGTACTCCAAAGGTTGGTTTGAGGTTACTGTAGAGGTTGTTCTAAGAAAATTGGATTGGGGTTACTATGAAGGTTGCGAAAAGGTTCTACGCCCTAAACCCTAAACCCTTAAACCCTAAACCCTAAAGCCCTAAACCCTTCAACCAGAGACCCACGATTGTGTAAGGGCTTCTGAGACCTGTAAGGGCGATCACAAGGGTACTTTGAGGGGTTCTTGTTCGCCTACATGATTGTTGTGAGGGTGGAGCAGGTCAAGAGTTTTTTGGCTATCGCATCTGGAATCGGATTACCCGCGACGCAGAGGAGCCTCAAATATCTGGTTCTTGGAGCCCAGGGACAGTGATGCTCATGTGTCGGCTTCGCCAAGATTCCAAGGCTTCAACCCTTCAAGCTCTATACCCTAAACCCTAAACCCTAAACCCTAATTCCAGGATCGCCCAAGGCCGCCCGGACCTGCGACCGCATGTAACCGTCTAGGGTTAAGGGTTGAGGGGTTTAGGGGTTTAGGGTTTAGGGTTTAGGGTTTAGGGCTTGAAGGCTTTAGGGTTTAGGGTTGAGGGCTTCTGCTGTTAGTCGATATTCCAGCTTTCGGAGTTCATTGTAAACTAACCACCCCGCTGGGATTCTGAAGTCCTCCGTTGGCAAAGCCTTCCGCCAAGTCCAAACCCCCTGGGATGATACTCTTCAAGCGAGTTTGATGTTCGTGAAATGTAGTTGTTGCATATACTTCAATATACACTACCCTGCTAGAATCCTTGTAGAACCTGTGCAGAACCTCTAGTACCCGTACAGACCCGAAACCTTAAACCCCAAACCCTAAATCCTAAACCCCAAACCCCAAACCCTAAACCCTAAACCCTAAACCCAACCCGAAACCTTAAAAGCCCTTACGGAGGACCGGGCCGACTTCCTTCAGCGCGGCGCCCTCGGCTTCGTCACGGTTTTGAGCTTGTTTCCTAAACCCTTAGGCTTTAGGGGTTTAGGGGTTTAGGGGGGCTAGGGCTTAGGGCCTAAGCCCTAAACCCAACGCCCTACACCTTGAACCCTAAACTGTTAGGTTTTAGGGGTTTAGGGGTTTAGGGGTTTAGGGGTGTACGGCCTAAGCCCTTAAACCCTAAACCCAAAGCCCTACACCTCGAACCCTAAACCCTGAACCCTAAAGCCCCAAGCCCTAAGCTTTGGAGGACTCATCTTCACGTGATGGGCCTTAGGAAGCCTTAAGGCCCTGAAGTCGGCGCTCTTGCAGTTTCGGGTTTAAGGTTTCAAACTCAAGATGTACGGGTTTCAAATTTTGGGTTTAGGGTTCAGGGTTTAGGGTTTAGGGTTTGGGGTTTAGGGTTTAGGGTTTAGGTTTCAAATTTGGGATTTAGGGGTTATTTAGGGTTTAGAGCTTCAAGGGTGTAGGGCGTGCTGACAAAAGGCTGACATGTTTGGCCGTGTGACCCCTCTTGACACGATGGTTTTCAGATGTTTTGTGTGGGAGTCATAAAAATGTAGCTGCCGGAAAGGCAACCATGAACCCTAAATCGTAAATTCCAACCCCGAAGCCCTGAACCCTAAACCCTAAACCCCAAGCTCTAAACCCAAAGCCCTAAACCACCAACCCCAAAACGTTTAGGGTTTAGGGTTTGGGGTTTAGGGCTTAGGGTTTAGGGTTTAGGGTTTAGGGTTTAGGGTTTAGGGGTAAAGGTTTAGGTTTTAAGGTTTAGGGTTTAGGGTTCAGGGTTTCGGGTTCAGGGTTTAGGCTTTAGGGTTTATGGTCCTGAGCCTTAAACTCACTAAGCCGTCAACCCTCAACTTACATTTTCCTCAACCCTATAAACCCTAACCCTGAACTTACCAAGCCTTACGCCCTGAACCAAAACCCTAAACCCTAAACTTTCCTCAACCCTAAACCAATCGGCTCCCCGCGAGGGCTGCAGAGCTTCCAGCCTGCCTGGTGGTTTCAGAAGCCCGCGGGAATCTCCCCGTTGGACTGCGCGCGCCGAGGCCCTCCAAAGGGCCCTGTTGTGGGGTAGGGTTTAGGGTTTAG